GGTTGGGATAATGCAAATGGGAAGATAAAGGCACAGGGAAGGAAGCAGGGGAGATAATCAAGATCAGAAATACCTTACTCTTCCACATCTTGTTCAGGGAATTGCATTGGATGAATGACAAGGATTATGTGTATACGGACAAATCAGTCCTTTCGGTAATATAATTTTCAGCGGTCTGAACCAGGAGGAATTTTCCAAAAGTGAAATAATTGAATGAAAAAAAAATCTGAGTAACTTGATAAAAGCAAGTGGGTCAAATTCATCCCTGGTCAATATCCATTCATTTCCCCAGGGATGGGTTTGGTCCATTACCTCTAGTGACTAAAGCAAAGGGATTAGGAATCAGCATTCCTATATTCTCTTCCATGGATTGGCTGTGTGACCTTTAACCAGTCACTCAGAAAAGATGGCATTGTAGTTAAGGCATGGGAATGGGAGCTGACTGATCTGGATTCTCTACACAGCTTTGTCAATGACTTGCTGGGTGTTGTTTCACCTCTCTGTGCTTTACTTTTCCTACCAACCACTGTCTCCGAAATGGCTCACAAGAGTGGTTAGAGTCAATTAACTTAATGTGCATGAAGTGCTTAGAGATCCTCAGATGCAAGAAGCCCTATTTATGTAAAATATTCATATAATGCCTGTGAACTATCTCCTCAGTGCAGTTTTAGTGCAGACACTCTACAAAGCTATGAAGGGTGTCGCACCGATCCTAAAATCCCCACTGAAGTGCATGAGACTTGAGGGCACTCAGCAAATTGCAGGATGAGGTTCATACATAGCAAACCAGACTGTTTTTCAAATGAGCACAGAGTGAGATCCCCAGCTGGTGTTAATTAGTGCAGGTCAATCAATTTACATCAGCATAGTGCCATTGCATGCAGTGGAGCTATGCCAATTTATATCAGGGATATAAAAATGCAGTTATTAAAGTAAATGTGTAACCACTGAAATATTCAGTGGTTACATGGTTACACATGGGGGGATGCAATTGGCTCCCTGGGAGCTGGTGTGCTCAGGGAACCAGATTTCAGCTGGCTCCCCATAATACCGACTTCTGCCTCCCACTGCCCCTGACAGAGGCAGCAGCGGGAGGGGGGCAGGTAGCTCCCTGGGGTCTGGTGCTCATCAGGAGCACCACCCCGCTCCCCACTGCTGTTGCCTCTGATACAGAGGCATCAGAGTGTGGGGTGGGGCAGGCAGGAGCTGGTATGCACAGGGATCTGGCTTAAAAGCTGGCTCCTCACATGCATCAGTTCCTGCCTGCTCCCCTACTCTGCTCCCTCTGACACAGAGGCAGCGAGGGGAGGGCTGCATCTAAACGGTGACACTTTCACATTCGTAATTTATACCAGGATCCGGCTCATCTTTTTTAAACTAAAGTAGTTTGTAAATCAATCTTTAAATTGGAGCTTACTGTCCATTGTTCAGGAGTATTGGGAACATGGAATTGAGTGAAAATGTAGCCATCTCTCCGGTGTTTATTGATCAAATCCAGGGCCATCCCAGCATCGGTTTCAACTGCATCACAGTCTGCAGAAGCTACAAGGGTTTGGCTCTGTGCAATAGAACCAGGCCTTTATATGGAGGGTGGTGTGTGTGCGAACGGAGTGATGGGCCTTGCTCCTAGGGTATGGGGGGAAAATCAGCCCCAGACTTCCCCAGGCCAGCTGGAGCATGGGGGAGGGAGGCTCAGGCGGTGAGCTGCTTCTGCCTTCCCCCTGCCTGACGCAGCACGCTTACTTGGGGGACCATGCAGGGAGGGTGTGCGTTTGCACCCTTGCCATCCACACTTACAAAAAAAAGCACCCCCGCACAGAAATTCCTGTGTATGGGCCTGAGAACAGAGCAACAATGTGAGACAGAACACTGCAGACAACAGCGTCATTTTGTCTAAAATATGAAACCCCTTTCTCCACTCTGTGCTTTGCTAATGCCAGTCATTTGGCTTTATAGCCGAATTGTCTATAGACGCCTGTATAAGACTGCTCAAAGGACATGGTTATATACATTTATAGCTGCCATGGAACTAAGGCTAATACCTTGGCCCTCAATTGATATCTGCAAACAGAAAGTAAATGATTAAGTGATGCTTGAGCAAATATTGAGGAAAGCAGGCTAAACTAGTGGTTGTCAACCTTTTTGGGCTCAGGACTTATTTGTAAATGTTTGTGGCTTGTCATGGCCCAGTAAATATTTGGGGGTTGGAGACCCTGGGCTGGTTTTTAGTCAGATCCTGCATCCTGGTGGGGTTGGGTCCTGCCTGACACTCACCCCACAATGGGGTTTCCTGTAGCTCCTGTGCTGTGCGGCTGGCTAGACGTGACACTCTGCCTCTGGGCACTGCAGCCTTTGGGGTAGCAGCACCGCTCAGGTGTGGCCTTTGTCTCCTTGACTACACCAAATTTGTACAAGTGTAGTTGTGAGCTGGCTCCCGGGGATGCAGTGCCACTTAGTCACACTCAATCTATTCGGCCTCCTGTCATCGTGACAGCTGGACTACACCCGAGTGGTACTGGGACTCCAGAGGTTGCAGTGCCTGCAGAAGGGAGGTGAGCTTGGCCAGCCCCATGGGACAGGAGTACCTGACCCTTTGGAACATCTTGGTGACCCAGTTTTGGGTTCCACTCCACAGGCTGAGAAATCCTGGGCCAAACGGTATCGTTGAGATAACGAGTATTGCACAGGGTAGAATTGTTCAGGGGGGTGGAGAGGGTTGCAGGCAGAACAAAAGCAAAATCTATTTTTGCTGGCTCGAATGGCTGGAGTTGTATAACGCAGCGCTGTTAATACTGAGGGGCTCTCATGAGAACTGATATTTGACTGGCTCTTAGGAGCCTTGATCCTGATTAGCAGCTGATCTTAAGGAAGGAGTGGGCAATAAGCCAGAGGCAGTTTGCTGTGGTTAGCCCTTGGTGAGCCGCCAGCAATTTCTTTACCTGAAAATCCATAGGTATGGCTGTTTGCAGCTTCCATTGGCTGTGGATTACCATTCCCAGCCAATGGGAGCTGTGGAAAGTGTTGCAGATAAGAACACCACTTCCCACAGCTCCCATTGGCCTGGAATAGCAATCTGTGGCCAATGGGAGCTAAAAGCAGCCATACCTGGGGATGTGCAGGTAAATACATTTCTAGGAGCCCAAAAGGCACTAACCCTGGTTGAACCACGTCCAGCCTGCAGGTGACTTATTGCCCATGTCTTCCTTAAGGCAAGAGAGGAACTCTTTAGGTACCCACTTCACTTTCAGCCAAGATTTGTGGTTATTAGTGACTGTCATGTCAGGATTCCATAGAGTTATGTATATGGCATATGGGAAAGGAGCTTGTAATTTCACTCCTCTTCTAAGCTGATAGTTCATAACATATCACTTGTGGTAGCAAAGTGTTTGAGACCATTTGCATTTTGCATACTTTTCATAATAGTTGGGTAAAATTGGATGGAGATGATTTTCACTATCCATTTGTAAATTTCCACAACATGCCAAGTGATGGAGAATCAGAGCTATACATTTCAAAGCAGTCTAAGGGATTTAGGCCCATCTCTTCTTTTGAAAATAACAGAAAAGGTGTGCCTAAATAGACTGCATTGAAATGCTCAGCCTGTATAATTATTAAGGAGTTAATCTGAAAATCATCAAAGAAACCTTAGCTTTAACACCACATGATAAACCATAAGAGGATCTTCTTCCATATTTACAGACTCTTAGACTGTGTCTAGACTGGCCAGTTTTTCCGGAAAATCAGCTGCTTTTCCGGAAAAACTTGCCAGCTGTCTACACTGGCTGCTTGAATTTCCAGAAAAGCACTGACGATCTCATGTAAGATTGTCAGCGCTTTTCCGGAAATACTGTGCTGCTCCCGTTCGGGCAAAAGTCTTTTTCCGAAAGACTTTTGCACAAAAGGGCCAGTGTAGACAGCACAGTGCTGTTTTCCGCAAAAAAGCCCCGATCGCGAAAATGGCAATCGGGGCTTTTTTGCGGAAAAGCGCGTCTAGATTGGCCACGGCTGCTTTTCCGCAAAAAGTGCTTTTGAAGAAAAGTGTCCGTGCCAATCTAGACACTCTTTTCTGACAATGCTTTTAACGGAAAACTTTTCCGTTAAAAGCATTTCCGGAAAATCATGCCAGTCTAGACGTAGCCTATCAGTGTGTGAATACTATTATTGTTGCTACCTTCAATAATGGAGCTTTCCTCTGTTCTTATTATAGTTCCTTTCTTCTCTTTTTGTAATTCCCTTGAATTTCCGCAAAAGCACTGACTTCCTACTGTAAGAAATCAGTGCTTTTTGCGGAAATACTATGCTGCTCCCGTTCGGGCAAAAGTCCCTTTTGCGCAAAACTTTTGCACAAAAAGGCCAGTGTAGACAGCTGAGATTTGTTTTGCGCAAAAAAGCCCCGATGGTGAAAATGGTGATCGGGTCTTTTTTGCGCAAAAGCGTGTCTAGATTGGCCACAGATGCTTTTCCACAAAAAGTGCTTTTGCGGAAAAGTGTCTGTGCCAATCTAGACGCTCTTTTCCGAAAATGCTTTAAACGGAAAACTTTTCCATTAAAAGCATTTCCGGAAAATTGTGCCAGTCCAGACGTAGCCTTACAGTCCCCGGGGTGTGTTCTGCTCCTGGTGCTTCCGGAGCGCTGAACAACTAGCATCGCCAACTTTCACTTGCTCAAAGGCCTGTGAGCAGCTATTTTGAGATTAGCCAGGGTCACGTCCCTCTTGGACCCATGCTTGTCCACGCTAACAGATGTTGGGGGAACTCAGCCTGCACCTTTTCAAGGTGGCAGTAGATGTTGCTACTTAGCAAGCTCTCCCGAGGCATTCGGGCTGTGTCTCTCCAGCATTCTGCCTTCTTCAGGCTACTGCACCTTGTCACTGCTCTCCA